TGGGTCTATATTACTTAGAAAAAGTGCGCTTGAGGTTGGATTATTATCATTTATTTCCTTGGTTTGCTTCATTTTGTGAAGTTTTCCATTTTATGATGAATTTTCTGGTTTCATATGATTTGGATGTTTTGGACTAGTATGCATGTTGGTAATAAGGGGCTTTGGCCTCTAGTAGGTGGAATTGTTGTAATGCAATCAATTTTGGATTTGGAATGAAATGTGAAAAGTTAGGGTTCTTGAACCCCTATTCTGTCCGAAATTTTAGGTCATAGCTAGAGGCCGAATTGGACTTTGCTCAAAACATGAAAGTTGTAGGTATTGATGAGTTTAGTGTGCCTGCAAAATTTCAGGGCAATTGGACTAGTGTAGAGTGAGTTATGCCGTCTTTACTGTTGCTGTTTTTGGTGCACAGAATGTCCGAACTGCGATAGTAATTGCCTGTTTGGACTGGTATTGGTTTGGATTTTGAAGTTGGTGTCTTCTGATGAAATGTAGCTGGATGTCTTAAATAACTTATGCCTTTGGAATTTCGGCATTTGGACTTGTATGGACTGAGTTATATCGATTACAGTTTTCTGCGTTTTGCAAACCTGTTTTGGTAATTCTGGTTTGGTATTTGGCACTTTTGACCTAGTTGTGCTAGGATTTGGACTGAGAGGCCTTCTACATTGTTGTAGCCCTGTCTCTTAGCTTCGAAACGGTGGGTCTTGCACCTTCATCCGACCATCGTACTGCTTTTGGTACCATTACCGCAAAAGGACATCAAATCTGTTTTGGGTTTTAGGGCTTGGATTCGGACAAGATAATGGTATATGACGGATGGGTTCTGAGGCGTGGAGGTGAGTGACCCTAAACTATTTCCAAAGTTATTTGTGAAATGTTTCTTGCATTAATTATTCGATTGCATATCATGCGTGCTTGCATGTGAATTCATGACATGATTTGGCTTCAATGAGTTCTGGGAAAGTCTTGTGCTGGACACCAACGTCTCCACCTTGTTTATGGTTCATGTTCATGGTTATCTGGAGCACCAATGTTGCTCCCACTTTCGTGAGTTCGTGAGTTAATGTTAAATGATATATTTGAGCGTTGGGTGTTCAAGTGCAATGATTTCACTGGCTCACGAGAGCAATAAACGTACATGTGATCTTGGAATCATGACATCATCGAAATCATCGAAATGCAACATTGTGAAATATATGTGCTTAATGATTTTGCTGGTTACTCGCTGAGCTTTTAGCTCACCCCAAAAAACTATTTTATTCCCCTCCACAGGGCTCAAGGCGAAGGAAGGACTTATAGTACTTGTGCACGTGATTGGATGGCCTATGTTTTGTACAGTTTTGATTTGGAATCATTTTATGTATAGTTAGGAATTGTTTCCGCTGCATTTGTGACATGTAATTATTGGAGACTTGGATGTATATTTGTGGACCATGTAATTAAATATTGGAGATTTATATTGTAATATTTGAGGTTTATTCTTGTAATTTATTTGAGGATTGTAGTGAACGACTGAGTCCTGGCGAGAGCTGGGCAGGCGGCCCGTTGACCTCTCTGGTTCGCCTAAGGGGAAAATGGGGTCGTTACAGTTGGTATCAGAGCTTAGGCTTTAGATCTCTGTAGTGTATCCTAGGCTTGAAGTTTAGGATGCCGGACTGTGGGTTTGATTTGACTCTTGAGAGATTTTTGTGGGATGTCTTGACTTGATTGGTACAAGAGGGAATGTCGAGGACGACATTCTTTTAAGGAGGGGAGATTGTGACGCCCCGAAAAAAAATGAGTTTGAGAACCCGGAAATTTTCTAATTTTCTAGGGTTTATTTTTTTAAACGCCCGCATTTTCTACATTTTCTTGATTAGAAAAATTCCCCAGATAAAGTTTATGAGCAAATATCATTTTCAAATGATTTTTCTAGTATTGGTGAGTTTTTAGAAAATTAAGAATATATTTTGGACGTGGGACCCACTAGTGCGAAAAGTACGGCAAAATTCGGCCAATAAGGTTAAGTTTCGGATACTGGTGGAAATTTATCGGGTGTTAAGAGATAAGTAGAGGGTGACATGGCATTGATGTGAGAGGAACCAAGTGATAGGAAGGCATTAAATGAAGTGCCAAGTGGCACTATGTGATTGGTCCACTTGGTGGACATTTTTGACTTTTCTTATCATGGATTAAATATCTCAAAAATTGACTAAAAATTCATTCTTTCTTACCTCTTGTTGGCCGATTCTCTCTCTTGGACAAGGAAGAAAAACTTCTTCAATTTACAAGCTTCAAACTATCTCAATCTTCCATTCCAACCAATTAAACTTAGATTTGCTCCATAAAATCACTCCATTAGGTGCTAGTAAGTGACTTGGTGAAGTTGTTTTGAAGCTCTAAGGTGGCCAACCTCTCTATCTCTCTTAATTTCTTGGTAAGTGATGCTTGAACACCCTACTACACCTAATTATGGTTATATTATGCTTAGCAGAGGCTTGAGTGTTGGATTATATGATTTATTTCTTGGTTTGGCTTGATTTGGTGAAGTTTTCCATTTTATGATGAATTTTCTGGTTTCATATGATTTTGATGTTTTGGACTAGTATGATGGTTGGTAATAAGGGGCTTTGGCTCTAGTAGGTGTGAATTGTTGTTAAATGCAATCAATTTTGGATTTGGAATGAAATGTGAAAAGTTAGGGTTCTTGAACCCCTATTCTGTCCGAAATTTTAGGTCATAGCTAGAGGCCGAATTGGACTTTTCTCAAAACATGAAAGTTGTAGGTATTGATGAGTTTAGTGTGCCTGCAAAATTTCAGGGCAATTGGACCTGCGTAGAGTGAGTTATGCCGTCTTTACTGTTGCTGTTTTTGGTGCACAGAATGTCCGAACTGCGATAGTAATTGCCTGTTTGGACTGGTATTGGTTTGGATTTTAAAGTTGGTGTCTTCTGATGAAATGTAGCTGGATGTCTTAAATAACTTATGCCTTTGGAATTTCGGCATTTGGACTTGTATGGACTGAGTTATATCGATTACAGTTTTCTGCGTTTTGCAAACCTGTTTTGGTAATTCTGGTTTGGTATTTGGCACTTTTGACCTAGTTGTGCTAGGATTTGGACTGAGAGGCCTTCTACATTGTTGTAGCCCTGTCTCTTAGCTTCGAAACGGTGGGTCTTGCACCTTCATCCGACCATCGTACTGCTTTTGGTACCATTACCGCAAAAGGACATCAAATCTGTTTTGGGTTTTAGGGCTTGGATTCGGACAAGATAATGGTATATGACGGATGGGTTCTGAGGCGTGGAGGTGAGTGACCCTAAACTATTTCCAAAGTTATTTGTGAAATGTTTCTTGCATTAATTATTCGATTGCATATCATGCGTGCTTGCATGTGAATTCATGACATGATTTGGCTTCAATGAGTTCTGGGAAAGTCTTGTGCTGGACACCAACGTCTCCACCTTGTTTATGGTTCATGTTCATGGTTATCTGGAGCACCAATGTTGCTCCCACTTTCGTGAGTTCGTGAGTTAATGTTAAATGATATATTTGAGCGTTGGGTGTTCAAGTGCAATGATTTCACTGGCTCACGAGAGCAATAAACGTACATGTGATCTTGGAATCATGACATCATCGAAATCATCGAAATGCAACATTGTGAAATATATGTGCTTAATGATTTTGCTGGTTACTCGCTGAGCTTTTAGCTCACCCCAAAAAACTATTTTATTCCCCTCCACAGGGCTCAAGGCGAAGGAAGGACTTATAGTACTTGTGCACGTGATTGGATGGCCTATGTTTTGTACAGTTTTGATTTGGAATCATTTTATGTATAGTTAGGAATTGTTTCCGCTGCATTTGTGACATGTAATTATTGGAGACTTGGATGTATATTTGTGGACCATGTAATTAAATATTGGAGATTTATATTGTAATATTTGAGGTTTATTCTTGTAATTTATTTGAGGATTGTAGTGAACGACTGAGTCCTGGCGAGAGCTGGGCAGGCGGCCCGTTGACCTCTCTGGTTCGCCTAAGGGGAAAATGGGGTCGTTACACGGTCCTTTCTCTCTCTTCATTACGATTGAAACTTCCAGGTAACTCTTATCATGAATAAGCGCAATATTTCATAACCTTCACCACTAATAAGCCATGCATGGTTCCATACCAATCTAAACTAACGGAATTAAACAATCATTTTGGTTAATTTAAAATGTCAAATTGGTATTTCTCCCGTTGTATCACATCTCATTTGCTGTTGCAAAGATGAAACATGGCAAATGGTGGTCCAATTCAATACCATCCATGTTTCAAGACTACATTTCAAGCTTCAGTTGCATATTTTTTTCAGTGACCAAAATGAACGAGATTTTCTTGGGTTAACTGAATAACGTTTTGGATGAACCAGCACTAAACAAATCCGTTAATGTGGGTGGAATTTAGAATTTAGTTTTGTTTATGATGTATGTCAGTTACTGTCCTTTGTACGTCGTGATTGCTAACATCGGTGCACTTAAACTTGTGATTTCACCAGGATGAAATGATTGTTCTCTCTGAAGTTTCACCCTTTGAAAATGCATTGGACATTTTAGATTTGATACCACAAGCAGCAATTCTACAAACCTTTTCTATAAGACTTTAAACCCGCAATTCTCTACTGCACTCCTTCCTCCTGCACTTAACAAGCAGATGAACTTAGATTAGATTTTTATAGTTGGTATTAATTAATTTTTGGTTTGCATTTCCTCCAAGTTACCCATCAATATGAAATAAGCACTAGGAGTTTCGTTTTGTTGATTTTATATATCTGCTTTTGTGGACGTAAGATGTGATTGCTAAAGTGATCAGCTCCCTAACTTATGATTCTAGTGGGAGTAAATAGTTGCTCCAAAGTTTAATCACCTCTTGATGGCGCATTTATCAAGCTTCTTGAACCATTTGATTAGTGATTTGTTCGATAAGTCTCGTAGATAATGGGTTTCTGTCTCACTTTTCCTTGGTTATGATTTTCTAGTAGTAAAGATTTGAGGAGTTTTCAGAGCAGTTGGTCATCAAATTGGTGTCTGGTTCTAAGAGTCTGGTAAGTTCAGATATACTACTCTTCTTTTACTACTCAAATTTGACTTTTGACTACTTTGATTCTGAACATATTGCAACCAAAACTTGAGAAATCTTCTCATAATGAAAATGTTTTTGGGAGCAGCCACGGAAGATGTACTGTTCATGCAGCGAAGCTGCACAGACTTGTTAGAGTATCTTCTAACACAATCAAGTCTAACCTGCAAAACGAAACATCCTGATTATGCACTAGCACGTCTAAGCATATTGCTATGGTTAGTCGAGACTGCCAAGCATCCTGGTTGGCTGCTGCTACTTGCTGCAATTATTTCATCCGCTGTGATGAAGGCTATTAAGCTCATTCTGCCACCTACATGCTGTCTCGAGTTTCTTAAGTTTGAGTTTTTGTGTTTTGCACTCAAAGATCAACATTAACCCTGATAGCTCTTACTTACTATCCTTGGTACTTTTAATATGATCCCTTGCTGAACAAGATCCTGTTTCAGTCAGATCAAATGAAAACATCCAGGATGGAAATCCCTTTTGCTCCCTGCCTCGGATGGCCAAAGCCTAAGATCTTCCCTGTTGGCGTGGTTCTTTTAAACTGTCCAACCGATTCAGCAATTTGTAGGCATGTTAATGAGGTGGCTTTTTACTTCTTTTGGAACTCATTTGCCATATCTTCCTTATTACTTGTAGTTCAAAGTAGCCGGTATTTTGTCGCAGAAAGATGTGGATTAGCTGAACCCTGATAGGTGCTTGCATCCTTCTTGAAGTTGTATCTTAGCTTTGTAACAGGCAACGTATTTTTTCTCAATGTTCTGCAGTTGACTGCAGGTTGTGTCCAGTGATTCTTTTCCATTGCTCGTTGTATCTGTAAAGCTCAGGACAGGACTCAGAGCACAAGAATCAGTCAGCTTGAGCCCTTCTACTTTATGTTAATCAGAGAGCAATTTAGAAAACTGAATTGCTAAGGCACAATTTTGTATTCAAAAAAGGATCCCAGTTGGTGGATGGGAACGTTGGAAAGATAAAATTATGGAAATCAATTTTACAAGAATTAAATGGGAACATATAGGGTCAACCTTAGTTCATCAAAGTGACATTTTACATGGTGTCTAGTTGCAAAATTGCTTTCATGCGAACTGGTCCTTATGCATCAATGTTGTTCCACGAAGCAGCAATGTGACATCGATCTTACACATCTTGGCTTCAAATCTTTTTCCTTGATAGCTCAGCGATATGTTACAAGAAAAGCATTTCTACATTTCCATGCCTATAAAACTTCGAAGGCCAATATAAGTAAATCCTTTTATATCTATAACAGTATAAAAAGTAGTACTAATAATAGCAATAACTAATTAGTGATTGTCTAAATATTTGTCTGGATTAAAGTTTCTATATTTTTTATGATCACATTTTCTGAGCATATTTTTATTATCTCACTAGTAATGGAGCACGTGCTTTGCACGTGAACCTTGACAGGTGTCAAGCCTGTGCAATAATAAATACCTGCTCAAATAAAATACAAATTCTGTATATAGCGGTAAGCAGGGTCGAATCCACAGGGATTGGGGATAATTTAATTTCTTCTCAAATTCCAGATATGGGGGGTTTTTGAAAATGAGAGTAACTAAATTACTTGGAATAAATTAAAATAAAATAAAATAACTACAACTCAAATAACTAATTATCACAATAAAAATAATAATGGACGAACTCTAGCCAAGAGACAACTTCGGAGATGGTTCACTTAATTCGATCACAGATTCAAGGATTATTCCAGTTACTATCTGATAAATTAGTTATAGTTGTCATACACGCGATAAACAACCAACTCTTCCTCAATTTGTCGATAGCCAAGGTACGACCGTTGATTATTTCTCTAATCAGGAAACAACCCTAGGTACGACCATAGAAGTTCAATTCCCTAATTGCATGAATAATTAGAAGAGCCTAATTCTAACCAATCAACACGCTACGAGGGTCTCTTTAAGTTAGCATGTCTATCTCCCTGACACAAACCCAATCATGCCAGTTGCTACCAGTTTAGAATAATTAAACAATTACGGATTTAACTACCCTAATTGGCTTCAGGTTATTGAATTAATCTAGAATCCGGGCCCAGGATAATCGAATAATAAAACAACCATATGAACATAAAGCAGAAGATAGACGAATACCAGTGAATAATGGAAATAAATAAAAACTAATTTGATCTCACAAATTTAGTAGAACCAAGTCCTCCGTTGTTCCTCGACTAGAAAAACTTAGCCACGCCTCATGAGAAAATCTCCAAGTAATTTAATTGAGGTCCAGGCCATCAAAAGAGCCAAGAAAGAAAAGAAAACTAAAACTATGCTAAAGGCTAAGCTAAAACTATTGATAACAAAACCTCCTGTACGTTTCTCCCTTTTTAAAGCCAAAAGAAAGTCTAATGCTATCTCTAGTGGTCCCCACTGAATTGAGAGTCCAAGGGCCAAAGAATTGGAGCTTTGCCAAAGTCTTTGTTTTTAGTTTCCTCTTTACCCGTAAGACTCCTAGTACAAGTCCACCCTTTTCAGCATAAAGATAGGAAATCCCTTTTTGTAGCATCCTGTGGAGCCCAGCTTGTATTTCCTTTTAGAACTTCCCATGTGTGGAGTGTTTTTCTCAATAAAGTCTCCTTTTTAGCACTTGTTTGCTCCACTTCCTGTAATTAGGGCCAAATACCAAATATAAGTACATTTCAACAATTAAAACAATATTTGGCAAGGACAAAGAGGAAAATTAATCATAAAATTAACAACAAATTATGCCCTATCAATTCCCCCCACACCTAAATCATGCTTGCCCTCAAGCATAAGAACAGCAATTGAACACCAAAAATTCGACAATGGCTATTGCTCTAACTATCATATTGCCAAGATGCCCAGAAAAACATATATCAAGCATCACAGTTAAGATCCAAGAAAGACCACTCCGGTTAGCTTCCCAACCACCAACTCCTCCAATTTAAAGCAAACTAATCTAAGAAAAAGGAATAGTTGCTCACATTTATTAGCAAATGGTCCAACTATTAACTAAAATATCGACATTAAGATCACAAACCGGCAAGCTGACTTATTCACATACTAACACAATCTTTACTTTACTTTTTTCCTTCTTTTTTTTATTTTTTTTTTATTTTTTTTTTTGAAGTAACAAAAGACTTAGTCTATAGCCCTTAGAGCCTTTTGACGCGAACTCCAACATTTGCCAGATGGAGGAGCCCGGTTACTCAGCTCCAATCGCTACGGGACCACGCACTTATAGCAACTACTACCTTTTGACGCGAAAATCAACACTTTAGGTGAAGATCCCCGGTTACTCAGTAGTAACCACTAGCGGAGTACAGTCAACTCTTATTTACAACCATATAGCACAATAACTAAAAATGACACAAAATAACAGCAGCCAGCCTCAAATTTCCAAATATGGAGAACTAAAATTAATAATTGGACCAATTCACATGAAAAATGCCAACAATCATTCTCTATGCCTAGAAAAGTTAACTAAAAATTAGAAAAGTCAAGCAATTACTGATATTCACCAAAGAGATGTTCCTGAACTCAACCACATCAACTTGATACCTTTTTATTACTAAAACTTGGCAATATCAGAATTAGAGACAACAATCCAACATTAAACTTGGTATTCAATAAGACCTGATCACGAATAAAAGAAATAAACGAAAAGGAGATAAATATCAAACTAAAAACAAAGGAAAGATACCTAAAAATCGAAAACTGGAAATACTAGCACCCAAACTGATCCCCCCCACACCTAATTCTCACATTGCCCTCAATGTGATAAACTAACAGCAAAAGGAAGGGGAAGGGTAACGGTACTTCCCTGAAGTTGTCAAAACAGGAGTGGGTCGGGCGGAGTGCTGCCAAATTCTGCGCCATGTTATGCAACTTGCATTCGGAGTTGGACCCAGTCGTTAGCCCCTGGGTGGTCCCCTGCTTAGCCAAATGCAATAACAATGCATCCCAAAACCGCAACAAGTGCTCCAATGAATTTAGCAATTGAAATGAAAAGGACAAAATACTCCCACACAAGGCAAATAGAGGCAACCTACTTCAATAAGCAACGGAAATGGCACAGGAGCCGTCCAATGCACCAATTAAATGCAATACACCCCAACCAAAGGCAGCTCAATAGACTCCAGGCAGAAAGTACCAAATGATACTCAATTGACACCAAAAACGATCCCAACAAAGCAACAAGATCGAAGGATACTCAGTCACAGATGCTCAATCATATCGAAATAAGAAATTGTAAGCAAATTAGCACAACCAGTACCACTGGTGTATACACAGGAAAGGAGGGAACCACATGGCCAACCCAATTAATAAAAAGCACAACTGAGGCACCCCAAAGGCTAGAAAAGTACCCTAACAATACAGCAAATTGAATGAATATGCACTGGGTTTCCAATTCAGTCAAAATAAGATCAAGGGGCACGATACAGAAACTAACAAAGCAGAAGTCAAGTGATACCAGTAGGGACCCCAACAGAGCAATGAATTCAACCAATTGGAGCAAGTGAAACTCAACAAATGTCACCAAGTGGACATTCAAGTACCCACTTCAAGATACCAAGCCTTAAGAATTTTAAGAATCCCAGCAAACAAGCAATTCCAGCAACTACCGATTAGAATTCGAGAAAATTTAAGAATTGTAAGCAACACCGCAACCAGTACCACTGGTGCACAAACAGGAAAGAATTAAATTCAACGGCAGCAACTCAACCACAAGAACTGAAACGGCAAAATAAGCAAGTATCTTCAAATATAAGCCACAACGATAGGCAAAAGATCTCAACCAGTACCTGGTGAGTCGCAGGGAAAGAGTAATCAAAAGGCCAACAATTCAATAAATAGCAGAAGATACCCCCACTATGGCAGCAATTAAACCCAATTCTGTCCAAAATTGACCCTAGAAAATGCCCAAATTATCACCTTCTTTTATCAATCAAGAAATCCAACCACAAATTTCAGAGAGTGAAACTAATTGGGGCAGAATTCACAATACCTCCACCTGTCTAAATAGGACAGGTGGTGACAGCCGCGCGACATTGGCGGACAAGCTGAGGTGGAGGCGCGCAGTAGGTGAAGTGGTAGCGCGCAGGCGGCTCCAGCGCTGGC